AAGAAAAATAGTGAAATACTTGACAGAGTGTACGACCTTAAATGTTGAATAATATATATACTACGGCATATAATATATTAAACAATTAAACTTAATAAATTTAGTGTTTTTACTATTAAGCTATAAAATTTTAAAATTTATAAACAATATTATTAACAATCAAAATTAAATTATTTATAAAATGCCCGGATACGATTTGTCAAGATTCCCAAATTTGTCTGCTAGGGAGAAGTCTGAATACACGTGCAGTATATGTCGGGACATATTTTGCAGTCCAATGACTACCCCGTGTTGTCTGCAGACATTTTGTGAGGACTGTATCACCAATTGGTTACAAAACAACACTACCTGTCCATATAATAGGAAAACGCTAACTATTGCTAAATTAACTAGAGCACCGAGGTAAAAATTTATAATTTTTAATGACCATTGATTTATCAAATTGAAATAAATAAAATAGATATTGGTGAATTAATTAATAATTTTCTAATATATAAATATACTAAAAATGATATAAATAATTAATAAAATAAATTTATTATTTAGTAAATATAATATTATAATTAAATACCAAATATTTCTATAAAAATTATAATTACAAATATTTAAATTTTAATATGTTTCCAGGGTTTTTGTAAATATATTAGGAAATTTAAATATTAAATGTGACTTTTGGGATAATGGGTGCGTTGAAGTGATTAAGTTAGAGGACCTCATACAACACACCGCCATCTGTGAGCACAATGAGGCAAAACGTCCCAAAACGTGTGACGTATGCTATTGTGACAAAACACGTGATCACGACTGCGTCGTATCACTAATTGAGGCTAAGTTTAGTGCAATTGACGAAATAGATTTGTTACAGCGAACGGTGAAAGAGTTAAAAAGCGAGAATGATCGGTTTTTGAATACTATCCAACATATGTCCAGTAACCTTGGACAAGAATACCTATTTAATGAAGTTCAACAATTAAAGTTTGATAATGAAAAACTCCGTAAAGAGCATGATGAGTTATTAGTACGAAATCAAATGCTAGAAAGAAAAATTTGTTTATTTACTGATGTAAGTTTTATTATACGGTATCATAAAAATTGCATAACTGTTAAACGGTATTAAGTCATATAAAAGTCCCTTTTGCATAATCACAACAGATTTAAACAATTTACACTTAATTTTAGATTATTATTTTATATTGTAATACGTTTTGTTTAGGGGGAGTATATTTTAATGTTTTTAATTTATAATTAGCGAGAACTTTTAAAGGGTAAGATATATATAATATTAAATTAATACTCAATTATCTGTAAATTTAGGAAATTTTTCATTTTATAAATAATTAAATATTCATGCACAATTATTTATATTTATGTAGGAAGATGAAAAGTTCAGAGTTTTCGAAATGTTCTTGAATATGCTTCAAGATGATAGTAAAAATGATAACCAACTTGCCGGTATGTTAATTAAAATAATTATTTAGTATTTACAGAACTTTAAAAATTATAGGATTGTGCTTGTTAAATAAATTTGTCTTGGACGAGGAAATACGGAGAAGATCAACCGGCATAAATGCGATAATAAAATTGTTATCAATTGTTAATGATAAAATATCATCAAAAACCTTGGATTTAGTTCTGGAAACAACTTGGTCTGTAATGTGGAACATAACCGGTATATGTTAACATGATACGTTTTCAAAAATAAATTAATAAAAATTTTAATTTTATATTTAACTAGATGAATCCCTTGATAATTGTTTACAATTTATGAACAATAGGGGCATGGATAGATTCATCAAGTGCATGGACTTATTTCCTGATGGACACGGTGATCATTACTAAAATTGAACAACCCTGTAATCAAAAGGTAAACCTCAACTTAATAATGTAGTGTCAAAGTTGTAATATACCTTTTGATTGAGGGGCCAACAAATGTAAATACTAATTGATTTCAATCTAAACTCTTTAATAGATTTAATGCGCAAAATGCTGGGAGCGCTATCAAATATTGCCGACTTTGACCAGTGTAAAACATTATTGTTGACCAGAGATAATATTCAACGATTCGTAAAACTTTTAAGCCAGGAAAATTATGGACATTTTATAAGCTGTAGCTCGGCCTCAATTTTGACCAATTTAGGTGAGCAATGTGAAACAATAAAATGTGCCTTTCGAATATAACATAAAGACATGAACTAATTTTAATGGGATCAAACTAATTTGAATATTAATTTATATTGGGAACATGTCTCATAGTAACAAAGTAAACAAATACACCACGTTCCATAAAAATCTTAACCTTATATTACTCATAGAGTTCATGTACTTATTTTAAATTCTATAAGCACAAATGTATAGTCCAAATAGTTGTATAAATAATTTTATAATTTAAAAAGCTATAAATGGAAATAGTGTGTGGCCTTGGAGCATATTATTACTCACATACCGCCGTAATAATGCGTTAGAAAAAATTAAAGCAGAAATTACCAATTGGAAAATTAACTCGACATTGGGAACTAATTATGAGTAAAAATGTTTATTAATTATAAAACAAATATTTAAAATTAAAA